CTTTCTTTGTGGTGTGATGATTATCCGTAAGGGCTTCGCCCCCTGCCGCCGGCCCCCTCTCTCGGAGAATGGGCCATGGAAGAGCTAAGTCATGAGGCCTTGGCGCTGTCGTGAAGCAGTATCGAAACTTCATGCGAAGCCGATTCGCAATCAGCAAAACCAACTGATCACAAGAGGGGTTACCACACCTGGCGATTGGTAAGACGTGTATGGTTTACGGGCTTGGTTACCACACCTTGCGATTAAAGGGCCGAGGGAGTTCTCGCAGTTTGGGTTACCACGCCTTGCGATGGATGTGCGTGAAGGGTGGCACCGAATTTCAGAAATGTGCCAAATCCCCTGTGTTTTTGGACCCTGACCCCGCGGATCTGCGTAAGGGGTGGCGCCGAATTTCAGAAATGTGGCAAATCCCTTGTGTTTTTGGACCCTGACCCCGCGGATCTGCGTGAGGGGTGGCACCGAATTTCAGAAATGTGGCAAATCCCTTGTGTTTTTGGACCCTGACCCCGCGGATCTGCGTGAGGGGTGGCACCGAATTTCAGAAATGTGGCAAATCCCTTGTGTTTTTAGACCCTGACCCCGCGGATCTGCGTGAGGGTGGCACCGAATTTCAGAAATGTGGCAAATCCGCTGTGTTTTTGAACCCTGACCCCGCGGGTCTGCGTGAGGTGTGGCACCGAATTTCAGAAATGTGGCAAATCCCTTGTGTTTTTGGACCCTGACCCCGCGGATCTGCGTGAGGGGTGGCACCGAATTTCAGAAATGTGGCAAATCCCTTGTGTTTTTGGACCCTGACCCCGCGGATCTGCGTGAGGGGTGGCACCGAATTTCAGAAATGTGGCAAATCCCTTGTGTTTTTGGACCCTGACCCCGCGGATCTGCGTGAGGGGTGGCACCGAATTTCAGAAATGTGGCAAATCCCTTGTGTTTTTGGACCCTGACCCCGCGGATCTGCGTGAGGGGTGGCACCGAATTTCAGAAATGTGGCAAATCCCTTGTGTTTTTGGACCCTGACCCCGCCGATCTGTGTGAGGGGTGTCGATTTCGAGCTCCCCCAGCAATTAAGACAACGCGCCCAGGAGGTGCTAAATATCTGGTTTGGGCCTCCCCCCCCCTCGCGCGGTCAATCAACTAGTTACAGTAACCAGCAAGAAGCAGAACTGTAACACTGGAAATTACAAGCTACAACTGGTACAGGAAACTGCGAATCCCGCTCCTACAGCCTGGTGGCCCCACAAGGGGGCCGGCGGATAGTTTTACTTGCAGCATTATTATTCTTAGTAGTACTCTTCTGATTCGCGTTTTTCCTGTTATTAGTCTCCTTCCTATAACTATTATTATCCTTCCCTTCTGATATCGCAGAAGCGTGAGACTCGAGGTCGCCGGAACTCGGGTCAGCCAATGCTTTGTGACGAGCCCGCCCTGGATTCTGACGGTCCTGTTTCCGTGGGACCTCTGCAGCGGGGGCTCGCGCCCAGGTTCAGACGGGGTCTCGTCCGTTCCCTGGCGGCCTCGCCGGGCCAACCCTGGCCTCCCGCACCCGAGCCTTGCGTCTCTCCGATGTTCGCGTCCCTGCCCGCAGCTCGGGGGGCAGCCGTCTTGGCCCCTGGCCCGCCGCCGCGGCCTCCGCCGCCCGGCCCTGCCGGGCGGGCGATGGCCGCGCAGCAGCTGCCGCCGGGCTTCGCGAGGCTCTTCCTGCGCGGGCGCAACATCCCGAACCTGCCCCTCCTGGGGGGGCCGGAGGGCCGCAGGGTCGCCGTGGAGGGAGCGGGGTCCTGAGGGACAGGAGTCCTGAGTCCTCCTCCTCCTCCTCCTCCTCCTCCTCCTCCTCCTCCTCCGTTTGTCGCCTCTGGGGGGCTTCCCGGGCCTTTAGGGGCCTGGGGGCTGCCAGAGAGCGACTCGGGCCTAAAAGTTGGTGCTTGGGGGAAGGCCCTGAGACCCAGGACTTGTTTCCTAGAGGGCCTGCTTCCCACATGCCTATAGAGCCTCCTCCTCAACCAGGGGTGCGAGCGCGTTGTGGGGTATAGTATAGCACGGCCCCTCGGGCGTGGCCAAAACTTTCCTCCTCCGCCTCCTCCTCCTCCTCCTCGTCCTCCTCTCTCCTTCTCTCTCCTCCTCCACGGGACGTTCCCAGATCTCCGACGATGTGGGCGTTTCAGTGCCAGCCAATCTTCCGCGATTTCGGTCTCTGGGCGCCGTTTCCGGGCCTCTGGGCCTTCAAAGACAGATCTTGGACGATGAGTACCCCACGGGGAAGAGGTCGGCACCTCTTTGGCCGCACATCGGGAAAAAAAACATCGTCCGTCTGTTGGCTTTTGGAACGCTTCTCGCGCGAGCTCAAGCCACCGCTTTGGGGGGATGACTCCAATAGCAGCTTTTCTGAATTCCCCCACCACGCGTTCACTCAACATGGGGCTCTAAATTCCAGACGCTTCTCGTATCCCCACCAGCCTCCCCGTAGCCCGGGTCGACCCTTGACGCCGCCTGCGCCTTCGCTTGCGGCTGCGAAGGAAAAAGTATCCCCATTAGCCTAGTGCGTAGCCCGACGGCTACGACTCTTGGACGGCGTCCAGCGTTTCCTGGTGCGCTTGCGATCAAAAAGTATCCCCACCAGCCCGTCCAGAAACGATGTCCAGGCACGGCCGAACCGTGATAGGGAGGGAGGAGGAGAAGGAGGAGTCTGGATGGATGGATGAGGGAGTGGGGAGAAGGTGGATGAATAGGATGAGGAGGAGGACGACGACGACGAGAAGGAGCATGAGGAGGAAGGAGGAGCAGGAGGAGTAGGAGGAGGGCAAGCAAAAAGGGCCAGAGGTCTCTTGGATGCCTCTCGGAGCCTCTTGAGATATCTCTTGGTCGTTTCTTGGTGGCCTCTTGGGACGTCTTGGGGGTCTCTTGGCGGTCCTGGGGGGCTCGTGTGCGTCTTGGGTGCCTTGGGGGGGCCTCTTGGGGGCGTCCTGGGGTCCTCTTGGGCGCCTCCTGGTGGCCTCTTGAGGGCCTCTTGGGGCCATCTTGGGGCCATCTTGGAGCCTCTTGGGGCGTCCCGGGCGCTTCTTGGGGCCATCTTGGAGGAGATCCATCAAAGAAGGGGGGGTCGCAATTAACGTTCCCCCCCTAAAGGCCCAAATGTAGCCAAAACCCTAGTAAAACGAGGCCGAGGCCGTTTTGGACGCTCCAACGACCCGCGAAACCCTTCGTCCAGGCCCAGGGAAGGAGCTTAGAGGAGGGGTAAACCCCGCCCCGAAGGGGAAGAGGGAGGGGTGGAAGAAGGAACGCCCTAAACTACCTACGCCCAGAGGGCTGGTGGGATTCACAACAAAATCGTTGCGCCTGTTTTGTTGAGCTCATGTCAAAAGGTGTTTTAGGTTGAGGAGGGACAGAAAACACACAGACACAATTAGCCGTCGACCCCTAGGAAAATATGGGAACATGTGGGAGGTGAGGGGGAAGACGAACACCCAGAGGGAACAGATCTTGGAAATCTTGGGATTTGAGTGTATGTTCTCTGTGTGTGTGTGTCCCTGGGCCCCTTCATGAATATTGGGCCAGCGGGCCCCCGACGCCGCGAGGTCGGTGGCCCCGCAAGGGCGGCGGGCTCCGGAACGAGGCACGGACGGCTCTTCCCAAGGCCCGGGGCCTCTGAGATGGCCAGCTCAGCTCCCGCTCCTCCTCCTCCTCCTCCTCCTCCTCGTCCTCCTCCTCCTCCTCCTCTTCCTCCTCCTGCTCCTCCTTCCCTCCCTCCCTCCCCTCCATCCCTCTCCCTCCCTCCCTCCCTCCCTCTCTCCCCCCTCCCTCCTGCCTCCTCCACTCCTCCCTCCTCCACTCCTCCCTCCTCCCTTTACGTAGAGGCCTCGGCCTGAATACCCAGCCATCCCCGCCCGAGCCGAAGACCCTAGGCCACCCCGAATGCCCCCCCACAGGAAACCGACGAGCACAACGGTGACTTCGGGTCGGGTCGGGGTGGCTTGGTAGGCAGGCAGCGTGCCCGTGCGCGCGCTTGCGAAGGAAATCGTGCCCAGGAAGAGGGGAAAGGTGTGGGCCATGTACCCGAAAGCAAGCCCCTCTGCACCTTCCCCCCGGGCCCACCGTCGAACAAGGGCTCCCTCGAGGGCGCGAAGTTATTCGCGCTTCGCGCTTCGCGGTCCTCGTTCCTTCTCCCCCCTCCTCCTCGTCCTCCTATTCTCCCTTTGGGAGGGCGGCGCGAGAGCGCGAAGTTATTCGCGCTTCGCGCTTCGCGGAGCGCGAAGCGCGAAGTTGGGAGCCCTTGTCGAATCGCGGATGCCGACCGGGGGAGACTGGCTCCCGGGGGGACGCATCGGCCCCCAAGCGCGCCCACCCATTGCCGACACTGGCCCGACAGCTCAACCCCGCGCGGGGGCCTGCGGCGTCGCCATCGGGGACCCTGTCGCCGATCGGTTGGCGACATACTGCCCGTGCATACTCGAGGCATCCCCGCCCCCTGAGCTGGTCTCAGAGGCGGGCCAGTTGAGGCAACGGCGGCTTTCCCGCCCAGTCCAGACCCACTCAAGATCGGCCCCCGACCCCTGCCAGGATCCATCCTGGCCACGCCTTCGAGGCGGATCCAGCCGTGGCGGCGAGAAGTCTCCGGGAGGCCCGAAGCGGACGGGAGCACGCCATGCCCCCCCCCCCATGCTGAGCCCCCTCGCGACCTTGCGCCAGCTCGGATACTAGCCAGGCCGTCGGCTGCAGCATCCCGATATGGCCACAGCCGTGGGGCGAGGCACCGCGTCTCCGCAGGTGGCACTTGCAGAGTCCTGGTCAGCATCATGTCCGCGCGGGTCCTTCTCTGCTCCTCCTCCTCCTCCTCCTCCTCCTCCTCCTCCTCCTCCTCCTCCTCCTCCTCCTCCTCCTCCTCCTCCTCCTCCTCCTCCTCCTCCTCCTCCTCCCCCTCCCCCTCCTCCTCCTCCTCCGCCTCCTCCTCCTCCTCCTCCTCATGTCCTGGTTTGGGGGGGGGGCTCTGGCTCTCTGGCCACGTGGAGCTCTTCTGGCCCCCCCACGCCATCGGGAACGGGACCGCTCCGGCGGAGGAGCCGGCGGTCCTCCACTTCCTCGAGGATGTCTTCGGGGTGCGCCTGCACAAGGCCCGCAGGGAGATACCGACCACTCTGGTGGGCAGCGTGGTGCTGCCGGCTGTGGCGGCGCTGGCGACCGTGGCCCTGGTGCTGCGCCGCGCCGCCCCGTCAAAGTACGCGGAGCTCCAGGGGAGGCTGCAGGCAGCGTCGCGCGGCGCTGCGCTGCAGCCTCTTCGGCGGGGCTGTGCGGCGCTCGGCCGCCGCCTCAACCTGACGGCGGATCGCCTGCCCATCCTCTGCGTGTCGTGCTATCGAGAGGCGCTGCCGCGCGTCCCCGCCTGCGCGCACGGGGAGCAAGGGCGCACGGTGGCCATCTCACCTTTTCCCTAATGCGCCCCCCTCGTCACCCAGCCGCGGCGACGAGGGCAGGACAGGTGGCCGCGTCCGAACGACACCAGGGCCGAGAGCGAGCGAGCACGGTGGCGCGGCTGCGGTGCTGTCGCGCCGCCCCCTCCTCCAGGGGGCAGGCTCGAGGCTCGCGGGCTTCGTGGGGGCCACCCAGGGGGGCCTCTTCGGGGACCTCTCGGTGCCTCGTCGAGCGGGCCTCCGGGGCAGCAGGCCTGGGGCCTCTCCAGGAGACGGCTCGGGATGACAAGCCCGCCCCGGTGAGTGAAGGGGTCCGGAGGTCTGGGACCCATGTTTCGGAGACGTCGGGCCACTGAATGGATGTGACCGGCATCATGGTCGGGGTGGACCCCGCCGACGGCGCCCGAGCCATCCAGGCGAGCGCCGCACTCGCTTTGCGGCGGCCTATTGTGCTGGTGTCAAGAGGGCCCCAAGACAGCCCAGCAGGGCCCCCAGACGGCCCCACAACAGCCCAAACGGACCCCAAGGCGGCCCAGAGAGGCCTGGGGCCCAAGACGGCCCAACAGGTCCCCAACAAGGCTTCAAAGCGGCATCAAGAGACTCCGAGGAGAGGCCACTCGCAACCCTAAATTAGCACGGCGACAGTCAGACAGAGCGAGGGGCCAAAGGGTCTCACACGGTCCCCGGGGCTCCCCTGGGTGAGTGGTTGTAGTAGGACTCCGCCGTGCGAATTGTTGTTCTTGCTGTTCTCGCCTTTGTTGCCGCCGTCGCCCACAACCCGCCCCGCGGCTCGCCCCGCAACCGGCCTGCGACCCACCCGCGACGCTACCCACCCGCAACCCGCCCGCACTGCTTTGACGAAACATCGGCGCCCGCGGAGGACTCGTTGTGAAATGTGTGATCCTAACGGCGCTTGCGGCGGGCTAAATTTGTTTCCGAGTCTCGCATACTTCTGACGACGCCCCCGCCCCCTCCTTCTTATCCGCAACTGCGGGCCCATGGTGTGTGTGTGTGTGCGCACATACATACAAGTGGCACGCGCGTGCCCCGGCTCATACAGAAAGAGCTGCAGCACACAAGCATCGTAGAACATGGACAATATAGGAATGTGACATCGGATCCGAGGAGGAGGGGGAGGAAGAAGAAGGAGATGGAGAAGCAGAGGGAAAGGCAGAAACGGATGATAATGAGGATAACCACGGGGCTGTTTGGAAGGAGGTGCAACAGCGGGATTGCGGTCGAGCGCAGGTGGGGTTGCCACATCTTGCGATGTGTGTGGCGCAGGAGAGTGTTCCACATTTTGCGATTACAGTTGAAAATAAGTTCCGAAGCCAATGTGTGGAGGATATCTCGAGCGAAACTGTCGCTTTGAAGAATATGAGAACCCTTTTGAGCAGGTAGGGTTTCCATTTGGGGAGATGTCTCACGCGAAACGGTTGCTTTTCTATGAGCGACACGCCCAACAGAAGTGAGAACCATTGTGTTGTTGATGGTGCGATTGTAAAATGTAGAACATCCCATGTGTTTTTGGGATCAGACATCGCGATCTGCGTGAGGGGTGCGACCAGTTATTTGAATCCAAAGGACGTCCCAGGCGAAACGCTCAGACAAAACAAATTGATTAAATTACTCGCCACTGGGTTCTATTCCCTCGAGGAGGCGCGTATAAAACATGTGTGTAGATAGTTGTGTAGTGCATATGTATACAAATGTATATATGTATGTATATATATATATATATATATTCATGCCACTATATATATACATGTTTATGAATAGGTGCATATGTATGTATACATGTATGTGTGTATATATGTGTACACAACTATATAGGTATAGATGTGCACATTCTATGTATGTGTATATAGATATGTGTGTATTATATACGGCAGTCGGCACCTCCCGCCACCGTACTTGGGTAGTGAATGCCTTTCGGCGGCCTCTTGAATGACTCGTGAGGGCCTCTGGGGGCATCCTGGGGGCCTCTTTGGGACTTCTGGGGGGTCTGCTGACGGTCTCCTGTCTAATCTTAGTGTGAAGGACTCGGCATGACAGTTCGTGTTCCTCCACTTGGGCCCGTCTTTGGGGCCCTCTCGGGCCGTCTTGGGGCCCTCTTGGGCCATATTGGGGCCCTCTAGGGGGCATATTGGACCATTTTGGGGTGATCTTGGCGGCGTCTTGGGCCGACTTGGAGCGTCTGAGGCCCGGAAAAGAGGGAACGCTAAAAGTTTTCAACAACCATTTGGCAAATCAATGATGTGTCCTTCTTGAGCAGCCTCTTGGAACCTTCTTGGGGCATGATTGGGCGTATCGGAGGCCCGTTGGGCCGTCGTGAATCCATCGTGGGCTTTGGGCCCTCCTGGGCCGTTTCGTCGCTCTCTAGGACCGTCTTCGGCGTTTCTCCGGAGATTCTCGGCAGGTTGTTCTGGGCGGGCTCGCCGTCCCGGAAACGCCCGGCAAATCCAGGAACGTTTTTTTTTTTCCCCCCTTGAATCTTTCGAACTCTCGCAATCGCAAGAGCCTTACCGACAGAAGTGATACGTATACACGTGGGTCGTTGCCATTAGATAGATCGGCATATCTTCCTAGTTCAAGCAACGATATGTGTTTGTTGTTTGTAAGTGATGCACGAGAATGATTGCTAATGTCTGTCGCCTTCTCGCTCAAGGCACTTCTTTCGGGGAGTCATTCTCTGAATGGCCACAGCCCTCGTCGGAGCGGGGGCTCATTGGGCCGCGGCGATCGGCGGCCAGGCGATAGGCACCTGGCTCGGCAGCAGCAGCAGCGGGTGCGACTGCAGCTGCCACTTCGACGCCTCGCCCGACGAGGCCCTCATCGGGCTGTTGAAAGGGCAGCTCGACAGGTGCGGTCCAGAGCACCTGCACGGACAGCCGACGTTCACTCCAGCCTGCCCCGAGCCAGGGCACACCCGGCTGGAGCTAGGCCTCTCGCTCGTGCTCGGCCTGGTCCTGGGCGCTGTGCTCCGCGAGGTCCTTGGCTGGACGACAAGACGACGCGCTCGGAGAGAGACCCAGTCAGTGACCCATGGCAGCCTCACGGACGGCCAAGGCCCTGGAGACCCTGCAGGTGGGTACACGGGTCCTCGCCTACTACGAGCAAGAGGACAATTACTGGCATGAACGGATTTTGGTCGGCAGGATCACTGCGACGAGATGGGTGGTGGTCACACCACACTTTGACATCTACGAGGAAGACTTCGCGGACGCCCTGCAGCTCTGTCCAGTCGGCCCCCTCGGGGGCCTGCCCACGAAGCTCTCGGGCCACATCCTCCGCATGGACATGGGCCGCTACAAGCGGAACGAAGCGAGGCTGCTGGCTGAGGGCAAGCAGCTTGCTAGCGAGATCCGCCAGGAGGAGGGCCTCCCCGACGAGCCACTCGGGGCGCTCGCGCCACCGCCGGCACCTGGCGGGGCTCTCGCCGTTCGTGTTGACGCTGGTGACGCTCCTCGCTGGGTTGCCTTGGAGGCCCGAGCTGGCTACCGACCAGGTGACGAGCTTCCAGCAGGCACCGTGCCCGTTGCCGTTCTTGGAGATCGGGGGATCTGTGAGCTCGCCGATGGCACCAAGCTGGCAGTCGCGAAGGCCGACACCTACGAGGGCACTCCGACCCCCCGGCAGGAGCGTCAAGCTGCAGAGCAGGATCTTCGGACTCTTCCTGTCAAGTACGACGCCGGCGGCACCAGGGTCAGGGACTTCGCCGAAGCGGTGGACATCATGTCCTCCAACCCGCAGCTGGACTTCCCTGTCCTTGGGCCGCGGACAACCTTGTGGCTGGTGCAGCAGTTCAAGCGGCTGGGCCAGACCCCCCTTCAGCGACACATGTGGTGGAGGCAGACCCAGAACCTCACCGCCGCGGATGCTGGAGTTGATGAACATCAGTTCCTTTCAGAGCTGCTGGAGATGGGCGCCGAAAAGGACCAACTCAATGAGGGCGAGCTCGCGACCTTCGAAGCTGTGTCCCGACGGTGCCAACTTTGGGAGGAGGTCTATGCCAACAGACTTCGTGAGCACGAGGCGGGCGCGGTTCGCAGTGCGGGGGCTCAGCTTGGCTCGACGAGCGTGAGATCTTCTTGGGGCAAGAGCGTGGGCGTGGCGGAGCTTTGGTTTGTCCTGCACTTCAGAGCTGGGTGGCAGCCCGTCTCCAGGAAGAGGCAGCAGTACTCAAAGAACGACGCAAAGGACGTGAAGAAAAGATTCTTGCTCGAGGTGGCGCGGAGGAGAACAGCACAGCCAGGCCGAAGTCTAAAGCAAAGGCCAAGGGCGGTGCTGACGGGGCTTCCTAGCCCCATCCCTATATCGAAGTGGCTTGGTCGCCCGCCTGCCCCCGAGCGGTCGACTATTCTCAAGGGGAGGTGCTGGTCCTAACTATGTTTTGCGACGACGGCGGTGGGGGGCGCCATCGAGACCTACTTCCTATTCCGATCGGTCCGGAGCTGATGTCGATGCTGAGCGGTGGGGCTGCATGGGGCACTTCACTCACGGCACGCAGGAGAGCTGCGACCAGGAGGCGACAGGATCAGCGGCTACTCGACGGCATCACCTCCCTCAACGAGCTGGGGGGGCAGGGGCGCCATGTGCCCGCCCTCTCCCCGCTGACGGCGGCCCAGCGTGCTGCGGTTAGGCGGCTGGCCACGACCTACGGCAAATGGTCGCCGCCCGTTGATCGCCCTAGTCCCCATGAAGCGTGGAGGACGCTACAGGGTCTCACGCCTGGCTACTCGGAAGTCGAGGCCGCCGGTTCTCGAACAGTCTACCAGCGGGGAAATATCTCTCTTCCCAAGATCGGCGCGGGCAAGGTGGCTCTTACGGAGGCCCTCCCCGCTGACCTGCAGACCAAGCTGGAGACTGGGCGCGGGCTGTTGCGATCCCCAGTGGAGGCAGCAGCGCTAATTCGTGACGCAGGTGCTCCTCGTGCCATGGACCCGAAGCTCGGGCGGCTCGGCTACGACTACGGCCACGCGCTGGGGGAGCTCTACACCTCTGGAGTGATCGAGGCCAGCTCGGAGCCAGTGTTGGAGGAAGCTGGCATGTTTTTTGTGGCTCGCAAGGACAAGCGGTTGCGTCTCATCTGCGACACCAGGACTCCCAACATGCACTTTACCACTCCAGAGCACACGGCGCTCGCGACGGGCGAGGCGTTATCCTCGCTGGAGGCGCCAGGAGCGACTATGATCGGCATGAGTTCTGGAGACGTCGATTGCTGTTTCTATCAATATGCATTGCCGCCCTGGTGCAGGCGCTACTTCAACCTCCCGCTGATCGATAGTCGCTTCCTGCCTCCAGAGGTTCGGGGCGCCTGCGGGCTGACGTTGAAGAGCGGCCAGGTTCGCTTTCGATTCAAGGTGGTGCCCATGGGATGGAGCTGGGCAGTGCACTTTCTATCCAAGAAGCACATCTTCACCTCGTCAAGTCAGTTTTGCCATCGCAGCCGTGGTGCTTGGACAAGTGTCCCGGCATCGACTTGAAGTCTGAGGATGCCAAGGTCCTGTACATCGACAACTTTGCTGTGCTGTCCCAGTCGTCCGACCGCGCCGCCACCGCCGTCGCCGACATGCAGGCGGCGCTCGCGGCCAAGGGCGTGGTCTCAGAGCTAGACCCCGCCCCAGCCGGGCGCGGCGAGCTGCTGGGATGCGAGCTCGACTTGCAGACGGGCTGCTGGCACGTGCTGGGCCGCCGGCTATGGCGAGTCTACGGTGCCCTCGAGTATGTCCTCTTGGGTCGGGCCAAGGTCTCTGGCCAGGAGCTCGAGCGTCTGATTGGCCACCTGGTTGTCATCCTGATGCTGCGCCGGGAGGGGCTTGCCATGCTGCACTCCTCATACGAGTTCGCGCAGGCCTCCTACTCCAAGAAGCAGCCTCTCTGGAAAAGCGTGACCCGTGAGATGGGCTGGGTCAAGGCGCTGCTACCTTGTCTTCGGGCCGACACCAGGCGCCCGTGGAGCGAGGTGGTCACTTGCTTCGACGCGTCCCCCTGGGGCTACGGCATCGTGGAGACCGAGTGGGACCTCGAGGACGTGCAGCGCGTCGGCCGGGTCTCCGAGCGCGCCCGATTCCGACGCGTGCTCGCTGCCGAGGGCGCCCCCCGCGAGAGGGCGCTGGAGCAGGAGATAACGCGGGCACCGGAGCCCGCCCTCCTGCTAGCAGATCGCTCGGCAGGTTTCCGGGAGGTCGACTACGGCAAGATGCACGCCCGGCCCTGGCGCGCAGTCGGCTGCGGCCGCTGGAAGCGCAAGGAGGCCATCCACGGACTCGAGGGGGCCGCTCTGACTTGGGCCGTCCGCCGGGCAGCTAGAGACGCTCGGGAGCACTGTTCTCGCCGACTCTTTCTTGGCGATAACATGTCCCTCACTCTCGCTGCTGCCAAAGGTCGCGCTGCCAATCATCGTCTCTTGGGAGTCTGTCGGGTCCTTTTTGCAGTGGGAGTCGCAGCAGATCTGAAGGTTCAGGTGAGGTGGCTCCCCTCAGAGTGGAACCCAAGCGGCGGTCGGCCCCGACGCTTTCAGCCTCAAGGCCCCAAGAGCGTGCATGGAGGTGGCGACGCTCCGGGCGGCGCCGCCCACGCCGGTGGCCTCGGCGAGCTGCCGCTCCGGCCCTCGCGCGCCGAGCGAGCGCAGGAGCCGTTCGCCTCGCCGCCCAGGCAGCCGCTGCCAGGACATGCCGAGGCGGGCCGTGGTGCCGGTGCTGGCCGGGCCCGGGAGCAGGCCAGACTTGGCTGGGCGGCGCGCAAGGCTTGGCCTCAGTCACTCGGAGAGCGACTTCGACCTGAGGAGGCGCCAGCTGCGCCCGCGCCAGACCCGCCTTGCGGCTGCCAAGGTCAGGCCTCGCACGCAGGAGCTCCACCTCGGGATGATATTCGGCTTGGTGCGCTGGCTGAATATGGCCTTCCTCCCGGACTGGCCGCGCCACACGTGGGACGAGACGCCGGCAGAGTACGCCGAGTCAATCTACGACCGTGGGGGCTCCAAGGCGTCTACTCAGCGGCTGGCCCCGGCGCTGCTCTGGGCGGAGCCCGCCCTCCACAGGGCTGGGATCCGCGAGGTCTTCCCCCTGACGCACCAGACGCTGAAGGGCTGGAGCGTCCTGGAGCCGTCCAAATCCAGACCGCCCGTCCCGTTCCTGGCGGTGCGGGCAGTGGCCTGCTGGCTGTGCCGTGCTGGGAAGCCGCTCAGTGGCTTTTGGCCGTTCTGATCATGTTCGAGACCTACATGCGCCCCTCGGAAGTGCTGGCCCTGCGAGCAAGGCAAGTAGTCCTGCCGCTGCCAAAGGAGGGAGGCGCATCGATCTTTTTGACGTTCGTGGTGCGGGCCTCGGAATACGAGATCCCGACCAAGACCAACGAGCACGACATCTCAGTTCCACTCGACCTGCCCAGGCAGCAGTGGATGGTGGGCCCGATCTCCTCTGTGCAAGCCCTTCGCGGGGAAAGAGCGCCAGTGGACCACCTTGGACTTTAAAAGGGGGGGTGTGCTCCAGGGCCCCCCCCCCCCCCCCCCCCCCCCCCCCCTTCCCCCCTCAAGGGCGGGGGTGTGTGGGGGTGGGGGGGGGGGGGGGGGTCGGACCCCCCCCCCCCCCCCTTGAAGGGGGAGGGGTTCGGAACCCCCCCACCCCCCTCCCCCCCTTTCCGCAGGGGTCCGGGGCGAGCGAGCCGAGCGCGCGGACTGTTGGACGTAGGGGCCGTCGGGGGCGGGACTCTGAAAGTTTTGCGGGTGCGCGGGCGGCCGACGGCCCCTGCGTCCAACAGTCTGCGCGCGAGGCGAGCGAGGTTTAGGGTTTAGTGTTAGGGTTAGGGGTTAGGGCTTAGGGTTAGGGTTAGGCATTAGGGTTTAGGGTTAGGGTTGAGGGGTCAGGGTTTAGGGTTCGGGTTTGGGTTAGGGTTAGGGTTTAGGGTGAGGATTGGGCTTTATGGTTTAGGGGTAGGGTTAAGATGAGGATTAGGGTTAGGGCTTAGGGTTAGGGTTAAGGTTTAGGGTTGGGGTTAGGGTTAGGGTTTAGGGTTAGGGTTTAGGGTTTAGGGTTGGTTCGGGTTTAGGGTTAGGGTCAGGGTTAAGGTGTAGGATTAGGGTTAGGGTTTAGGGTTAGGGTTAGGGTTAGGGTTTAGGGTTTAGGGTTTAGGGTTAGGGTCTAACAGGGCAAGGCCAAGAATACCTACCCGCATAGGCACCCACCTGCGGCGGCTATCAATCCCCCCCGCATCTCCACCCCCACATAAAGATCATCTCTCCTCTCATGTTATACCCTAGCGGGCGGGTCGGGCGGGCGGGGCCCTAACGGGCGGGTCGGGCGGGCGGGGCCCTAACGGGCGGGTCGGGTCGGGTCGGGCGGGCGGACCCTAACGGGCGGGTCGGGTCGGGTCGGGCGGACCCTAGCGGGCGGGTCGGGTCGGGCGGGCGGGACATTAAAGTATGGTGCGTGTGCACTTGACACGCGTGAACCCTGACGGGCGGGTCGGGTCGGGTCGGGCGGGCGGACCCTAACGGGCGGGTCGGGTCGGGTCGGGCGGACCCTAACGGGCGGGTCGGGTCGGGCAGGCGGGACATTAAAGTATGGTGCATGTACACTTGACACGCGTGAACCCTAACAAGCGGGTCGGTTCAGGTCGGGCGGACTCTAGGGTTCGCCCGACCTCAACGTGCTTTGCTACGCAACGCCTCTCGTAGGCTATGCCAGCATAACATAGATTAGCACAAAGGCGAGTTCCACAACATCTGGATAACCGCAGCCTCTAGCGTGGCTGCCGCATAACACCAGTGCTGAAAAAAAAAAACATTGAAATGTCCAAAGGAGTTGGCCATGATCGCGCGGCCGCCGCGCGCTTGTGCACTTTGTCGTATTTTTTGCAACGGAATATTACCATGCACACCTTGCAAGAGCAGAATCTTCAGATTCTAGTATTTTTTTACAATAAACAACTCCGGTACGCATCCGGGGCCGCCGCGCGCGTGTGCACTTTGTCGTATGTTTTGCAATGGAATGCGAGCATGGACACATCTTGCAATAGCAGGATGTTAAGGTTATAGTATTTTTACAATATAAACACTCCGGGTTACATAGAGGGTTGCGAACCACGGCCGGGCATTTTGCATTGTAAAAAATATGGTTTTCTGATCGCATGATCAGGATATAGTATTTTTTGCAATGGATGAGCCCGGGTCGCGACCGGGGCCGGGCAGAATCTGCTGCCAAAAACATGGTTTTCTGATCGTATGATCAGGAATCTTTTTTTTGCAAGGGATGGAGGCCGACCTGCATAGCGACCGGTCTGGAAGGGATTAGGGTTTAATAATTATAGAGATTAGAGATTTAGGGATTAGGGTTAGGGTTAGGGTTAGGGTTAGTTCTTATGGTTTAGGGTTAGGGTTAGCGTTTAGGGTTAGGGCTAGGGCTAGGGCTAGGGTTTAGGGTTACGGTTAGGGTTAAGGTTTAGGGATTCGGGTTAGGGTTAGGGTTAGGGTTTAGGGTTAGGGTTTAGGGTTTAGGGTTAGGGTTAGGGTTTAGGGTTAGGGGTATGGTTTGCGTTGAGGGTCAAGGTTTAGGGTTAGGGTGAGGGTTTAGGGTTCGGGTTCGGGTTTAGGGTTAAGGTTTAGGGTTCAGGGTTTAGGGTTAGGGTTAAGGCTTAGGGTTAGGTCATAGGGTTTAGGGTTAGGGTTAAGGTTTAGGGTTAGGGTTAGGGTTAGGGCTAGAGCTTGGGGTGGTTAGGGTTAGGGGTTAGGGCTTAGGGTTAGGGTTAGGCATTAGGGTTTAGGGTTAGGGTTGAGGGGTCAGGGTTTAGGGTTCGGGTTAGGGTTTAGGGTTCGGGTTTAGGGTGAGGATTGGGCTTTATGGTTGAGGGGTAGGGTTCGGGTTTAGGGTTAGGGTTAGGGTTAAGGTTTAGGGTTGGGGTTAGGGTTAGGGTTTAGGGTTAGGGTTTCGGGTTTAGGGTTGGCATAGGGTTTAGGGTTAGGGTCAGGGTTAAGGTGTAGGATTAGGGTTAGGGTTAGGGTTAGGGTTTAGGGTTAGGGTTAGGGTTTAGGGTTTAGGGTTTAGGGCCTGCATTGGCGCATGCGCGCGCTGGCTGCGACCCCCCCCACATCAAGGTTGTTGGGGGGGATCGCTGCCCAAGCCGCGCGCGCTATGAACTTGCACTCCCGCCCCAGACCACCCACAGTAAAGCCCTTTAGGGTTTAGGGTTTCTCCCCCCAACCCCCCTATCAAGGGGGGCTTTCGTGTTGTGTGCGAATGCGAATATTCCGCGGGGAGCACGACGACGCGGTTTTGGCATTGCGTTCTTGGTACGCGCGCAAAGCGCTTTGCGCGGGCGCAAGAGCCAGCGTCGTCGCATGGCCAACAATCTTTGCCGTGGGTTTAGCTGCATTCGGCTGGCTCCCAGTTGGCGCATGGCTTTGCCGAAGGACGGATTCTTCTCCTGCGGGTGTTCATTGCAATCAGAAGGCACAGGAGAGGCCTCAAGGCCAGGCGTCGCCGCATGAGGTTTTGAATTACGGCGTTGGCCTGTCGCAGACGCAGCATTGCCCCTGGTTCCAGTAGGCCTCCTGCATTGGCTTTTGCCGTTGGCCTGGCTGCCCTTGCAGCCGCCGTCGTAGACGGCTGCCGCTGGCGCAGCACATCCACAGGGGTCCGAATTTGCTTTCGGCGTTGGAAAGCAGCACTGCGAGGGCGCTGGCGCGGCAATCCCATGGGCCCCCGTGGGCCTCGAGCGAGTAGCCGCGCCGTCGGGCTCCTCGCTGACGCCGACGCGCACGGCAGTTGTATTCGCCCGCGGCTTTGGGTTTTGCTTTGAGGTCGCCCCCGCTGAAGCGATTGCAAGCATCGACGCAGACGCTGTCGACGCGAGCTTCGGAAGGCGGGAGGAGGAGCGCGAGGGGGTGGGTCTGGCACCCCCTCGCTACGATGCGCGCGCATGGCTGCGGCAGCACGTCCATGGCAGACCCCCTGGAATGCCTTGGGGGAGCTCTCTGGGAGCGCTGGGGGAGCGCCTCGACCTTTCCCCAGGATGGAAGCACGTGGGAGCGTCTGGGAGCGCGACAGGACACGCAGAGTGCACCGCGAGCGCGAGCCGTGAATTGCCCGTTGGGCTTGACCGTTGGCGTCGCCCCCGCTGCAGCGATTGCATTGTCGACGCAGCCGCCTTCGGCGCGAATTTCGCATGGCTGGAAGGGAAGCGCGAGGGGGTGGGTCTGGCACCCCCTCGCTACGATGCGCGTGCATGGCTGCTGCAGCACCTCCATGGCAGACCTCTTGGAATGCCTTGGGAGAGCTCTCTGGGAGCGCTGAGAGAGCGCCTCGAGGTTTCCCCAGGATGGAAGCACGTGGGAGCGTCTGGGAGCGTGACAGGACACGCAGAGTGCACCGCGAGTGCGGGCCGTGGGTTGTCCATTGGGCAGGACCGTTGGCGTCGCCCCCGCTGAAGCGATTGCATTGTCGACGCAGCCGCCTTCGGCGCGAATGTCGCATGGCTGGAGAGGGAGCGCGAGGGGGTGGGTCTGGCACCCCCTCGCTACGATGCGCGCGCATTGCTGCGGCAGCACCTGCATTGCGGGGGAGCGCCGGGAAGCGCCGCCAGGGAGCGCTGCCGAGTGCTTGCGAATGCATGAAAACGCTTGGGAGCGCTCGGAAGCGCCGGGGAGCGCTTCGGAGCGCGCAGGGAGCGCCTGAGCAGGCTGGGAGCGCTTGGGAGCGTGCAGGGAGCGTTTGGGAGTACCTGCAAGCGCTTGGGAGCGCCTGGGAGCTTGCCGGGAGCGCCTGAGAGCGCCTGGGAGCGCCATGCGCTTGGGTGCATTGGGAGCGCTTTGGAGCGTGCCGAAAGCGCTGGGGAGCGCTTGGGAGCGCCTGGGAACGCTTGGGAGCGCCTGGGAGCGCCTGGGAACGCTTGCGAGCGCCTGGAAGCGCCTGGGAGCGCCTGGGAGCGCTTGGGAGCGCCTGGGAGCGCCTGGGAGCGCCTGGGAGAGCCTGGGAGCGCTTGGGAGCGCTTGGAAGCGCCTGGGACGTGCGCCAGCCGAAAGGACGCCGCATACTGTATTTTCATATGGTTTGCGGCTCCACGGACGGCCGAAAGACCGCCGCATGCTGTATTTTCGTAGGTTTCGAGCCCCAGGGGATGGGACCAATCACAGGGGACCCTTTGGCTGGGCCTAGGGTTAAGGGTTCTATTCAACTTTCAGAACTCACAAGGCATCCCCGCGGGGGAGCGCATCCTCCTCAGCGCTACGCGCTTCGTCGGTGCGGCGTGCGCGCATGGGCGGACTCGCTGATCGCTCGGCCAGGCGCCACGGGCTTCTGACGATGCACCGCCCGTGGCTTGCAGTTTAGGGTTAGGGTTTAGGGATTAGGGTTAGGGTTAGGGTTAGGGCTAGCTCTTAGGGTTTAGGGTTAGGGTTAGCGTTTAGGGTTAGGGTTAGGGCTAGGGTTTAGGGTTGCGGTTTGGGTTAAGGGTTAGGGTTTAGGGTTAGGGTTAGGGTTTAGGGTTAGGGTTTATGGTTTAGGGTTAGGGTTTAGGGCTAGGGTCTAACAGGGCAAGGCCAAGAATACCTACCCGCATAGGCACCCACCTGCGGCGGCTATCAATCCCCCCCGCATCTCCACCCCCACAGAAAGATCATCTCTTCTCTCATGTTATACCCTAGCGGGCGGGTCGGGCGGGCGGGGCCCTAACGGGCGGGTCGGGCGGGCGGGGCCCTAACGGGCGGGTCGGGTCGGGTCGGGCGGGCGGACCCTAACGGGCGGGTCGGGTCGGGTCAGGCGGACCCTAGCGGGCGGGTCGGGTCGGGCGGGCGGGACATTAAAGCATGGTGCGTGTGCATTTGACACGCGCGAACCCTGACGGGCGGGTCGGGTCGGGTCGGGCGGGCGGACCCTAACGGGCGGGTCGGGTCGGGTCGGGCGGACCCTAACGGGCGGGTCGGGTCGGGCGGGCGGGACATTAAAGTATGGTGCGTGTGCACTTGACACGCGTGAACCCTAACAAGCGGGTCGGTTCGGGTCGGGCGGACTCTAGGGTTCGCCCGACCTCAACGTGCTTTGCTATGCAACGCCTCTCGTATGCTATGCCAGCATGACATAGATTAGCACAAAGGCGAGTTCCACAACATCTGGATAACCGCAGCCTCTAGCGTGGCTGTCGCATAACACCAGTGCTGAAAAACATTGAAATGTCCAAAGGAGTTGGCCATGATCGCGCGGCCGACGCGCTTGTGCACTTTGTCGTATTTTTTGCAATAGAATAGTGTCGTATTTTTTTTTGCATGCACACATCTTGCAAGAGCAGGATGTTAAGGTTATAGTATTTTTACAATATACAAAACTCCGGTTACATGCGGGGTCGCGAACCACGGGGATCAGCCCGGTTCGCGGATAGACCCGGTCACGATCCATTGTAAAAAACATCGTTTTCAGAGCGCATGATCAGGAAATAGTATTTTTGCAAGGGATGGAGGCCGACTTGCATAGCGACCGGTTTTGAAGGATTTAGGGTTTAATAATTATAGAGATTAGAGATTTAATTAGGGAGATAGGGCTAGGGTTTAGGGTTACGGGGTATGGTTTGTGTTGAGGGTTAAGGTTTAGGGTTAGGGTGAGGGTTTAGGGTTAGGGTTCGGGTTCGGGTTTAGGGTTAAGGTTTAGGGTTCAGGGTTTAGGGTTAGGGTTAAGGTTTAGGGTTAGGTCATAGGGTTTAGGGTTACGGTTAAGGTTTAGGGTTAGGGTTAGGGCTAGAGTTTAGGGTTAGGGTTAGGGTTAAGGATTAGGGTGTAGGGGTTAGGGTTAGCGTTAGGGTTCGGGTTTAGGGTCAGGGTTTAGGGTGTAGGGTTTTGGGGGTTAGGGTTTAGGGTTAGGGTTAGGGTTTAGGGTTAGGGTTTAGGGTTTAGGGCTAGGGTTTAGGGTTTAGGGTCAGGGTTGGGGTTGAGGTTAGGGTTTAGGGTTAGGGTTAGGGTTTAGGGTTTAGGGTGAGGGGTAGGGTTGAGGTTAGGGATTAGGGTTGAGGGCTAGGGTTAAGGGTTCAGGTTTAGAGCTTAGGTTAGGGCTAGGCTTAGTGTTAGGGTTTGGGGTCAGGGTTAGGTCTACGGTTAGGGTTTAGGCTTCGGGTTAGGGATTATGGATTAGGGTTCAGGGTTTGGGTTAGAGGTTAGGGCTTCGGGGGGGTCGGGGCGGGGGTGGTAGGGATGGGGTTCCGGAGCCGGGGCGCGAGCCGGGGAAAGGGGGGGGGGGGGGTTCGCCGACGACGGTTCGGAAAGGTGAGGGGGGGGGGGTCGCCGCTACGGCTCGGGCAGGGGAGGGGGGGGGGGGGTCGCCCGACGACGGCTCGGGCAACGGGGGGGGGGGGGGGAGGGTTCGCCCGACACGGCTCGGGCAGGGGGGGGGGGGTCCGAAACCCCCCCCCCCCCCTTTGGGTGATCCAGCGGCGCGCCCTCTTACGGGCCAGACGACCTCTTCCTGGGCCTGGGCTACAACCAACTGGCGGAGGACTTCCAGAGCGCGACCTCCGCTCTGGGTGTGAGCTTACTCAAGGCCACCCTCTACTCCCTCCGGCATGGAGGGGCCAGCCACGACCGGAGCACGGGCGCCAGAGGCTTGGGCGGCGTGCAGCAACGAGGGGGATGGAAGGCGTTCAAGTCCGTGCTGCGCTACGAGAAGCACGGACGCCTCTCGCTGGAACTTCGCAAGCTCAGCGACCAGCAGCGCGAGGCCCTCCGAGCAGCAGGCGGGGACTACGTGGGCGTCTTCAACAGGTCCTTGGTAGCGCCCCACATCAGACAAGAGCGTGCATCGAAGTCTTCTCGGGATGTGGGGCGCTGAGCAAACATCTGAGGCAAAGAGGTGAGGCTGTTGTTGAATGGGACATCCAGCACGGTGACCATTTCGATTTGTCTCGACCGGGGGTCTGGAGGATCCTCCGGGGATGGCTGACTTCTGGACTGGTCAAACTCGTTTTCTTAGGAACTCCTTGTGGCGGGTACTCGAGGGCCCGTCGGGCTCCCCCGTCCAGCAGCATGCCCTCGGCTCTCCGGAGCCCCGCTTTTCCCCTTGGGGTCCCGGGCCTCACTGGTAAAGACCTCGAGAGCCTTCGCGTCTCTAACAAAGTAGGGTGGGTCTCACAGCGTATTCAGCGCCTCCGTTATAGGTTAAATATTCCGGGCGGCGAGGAGAACCCCTGGCAAAGTTTCCTGTGGCTTCGCCCCGACCGCCGCGCCTTCGCTAAGCTTCCCAATGTCTGTGATAGGGTTGTCGATTACTGTGCCTGTGGTCGCCCCTTTCGTGCTCGCACTCGGAAAAGATTCTGGAAGTGCAGCCCACACCCTGGTCTAGATAAGTTAGTGTGCAAAGGCAGAGGGGGTTGCTCCTTCACCGGTAAGCCTCACCTTGAGCTCTCCGGTTGCTTTTCTGAGGGTGGTTTCCTCACCCGTCTCAAAAACGCCTACCCCCCCGCCCTCTGCGCACTCCTGGCTGACACACTGCGCCGAACGTGTATAGCACAGCATTCCACCGAGAGATGGAAACGAATGCGGGGTTAAGCCCCAGCACAATGCTTGAGTGATGGATTTTGTTTCAGGTTGAAGTATGGCAGATCTGTGTCGCACTAGCCAGCCTAGCTTGCCCGTGCTTCGTTCGAATCCTCAAGCAGTCTGAGCCACTGGCAAATAAAGCAACCATGTAAGTGATGCACGAGAATGATTGCTAATGTCTGTCGCCTTCTCGCTCAAGGCACTTCTTTCGGCCCACGCCAGCCCAACGCCTCGTTTCAATGGTAGTTTGAGCAGATCTGTGTCGCACTAGCCAGCCTAGCTTGCCCGTGCCTCGTCCGAATCCTCAAGCAGTCTGAGCCACTGGCAAATAAAGCAATCATGTATTATTATTTGGGCGGGCCGGCCCAAACTACCACATCCGCCTTCTTACTTCACGTTTCCACATACTTTTTTTCCGATCGGTGGGTATGTTGGCCAGAGTGGATCCCAAACACTGTTTCTAGCAAGATCTGGTATACATTTTTGTGGAGCGATGTTTGTTGCGCAGTATACGTGGTGCAATATATGTTGTGCAGCCTACGTTGTGCAATGCGAAATCTATGCTGTACAATATCGAAGACGCCTACGGCGAATCACCGCCGCCCCCTGCCTGTTTGGAAGCGCCTATGTGGCCGAACGTTGAGGCCAGACCTGCCAAGCTATCGGACCATGTGACCCTTTCGGGCCTTCTTGGAGGACGTCTTGGAGGGCTCTTGGGCCGTCTTTGAGGCCATCTTGAGCGTTTTGGAGGCCTCTTGGACCATCTTGGGGGCCTCCTGGGGCCGTGTTGGGCTTCTTGGGCGATCTTTTGGGGGCACTTGGGCCGTCTCGGGCCGTCGGAAGGCCGAACAAAAAGCAAATGCTACAACCCTTCAAAAACTAATGTTTGCCTTTTCGGGCCTTCCTGGAGGCCCTCTTGGAGGCCTCTTGGGCCATCTTAGGGCCATCTTCGGCCGTCTTGGTGGGCCCCATGGCCTGTCCGACGCCGTTGAAAGCCGTTTGGGGGGCCTCTCTGAGCCGACTTGGGGCCCTCTTGGAATGCTCCAGGGCCGTCTTGGAGGCCATCTTGGGCGTTAAAAAGGCCTCTTGGGCCGTCTTGGGGGCCTCTTGGGGCCCTCTTGGGGGCCTCTAGGGCCGTTCTGGGGCCATCTTGGAGGCCTCTTGGGCGATCTTTGGGCGATCTGTGGGGGTTCTTGAGCCGTATCGGGCCGTCGGAAGGCCGAAACGAAGGAAATGTCAAAATCCTTCAAAAACCTCCGGAACATCAGTGTTTTTTTAAACTTTTCTGGCCTTCCTGGAGGCCGTCTTGTAGGCTTCTTGGGCCGTCTTGGGCCAGCTTAGAACCAATTTCGGCCATCTTGGTGGGCTCCTGGCCCGTCTGACGCCGTCGGAAGCCGTTCGGGGAGCCTTTCTGGGCCGACTTGGGGCCCTCTTGGGGTGCTCCAGGGCCGTCTTGGAGGCCATCTTGGGCGTCTTGGAGGCCTCTTGGGCCGTCTTGGAGCCCTCTTGGGCCGTCTTGGAGGCCACTTGGGCCGTCACGGGGCCATCTTGAAGTCCTCTTGGGCGATCTTGGGGGTCCCTTGGGCCGTCTTGGCCCGTCGGAAAGCCGAAAAGGAATTACCAGAAGCCTTCAAAGTCCAGGAAAAATCAATGATGTTGCTTCTTCGGGCCTTCCTGGAGGACCTCTTGGGCCGTCTTGGAGGCCTCTTGGGGCCTCTTGGGCCATCGTCAGGCTATCTTAGGCCGTCTTGGGTACATCTTGGGCCGTCTTGGAGGCATCTTGGGGCCATCTGAGCCGTCTTGGAGGCCATCTTGGCCGTCTTGAAGGCATCTTGGCCGTCTTGAAGGCCATCTTAGGGCCGTCTGGAGCGGAAAACCGTTTGCAACCACCTCTTCCGGGTGGCCGGCGGGACGCGCCGGAGCCCCAGGGGGAGCTCTTTTGGAAAACGAACCAACACCAAAACCGAGAGGGTCTAACACGCCAGGCACCCCTTTAATAAATCAAAAGGGGGCGGCTGATCGAAGACGCCTACGGCGAATCACCGCCGCCCCCTGCCTTTTTGGAGGCGCATATGTGGCCGAACGTTGAGGCCAGACCTGCCAAGCCATCGGACCATGTGTTCCCCGAATCGGTTTGGAAAGCCTTCGGGGAACACGTGGGCATCTTGAAGGTCATCTTGGCCGTCTTGGAGGCCTCTTGGGCGATCTTTCGGCGATCTTTGTGGGCTCTTGGGCTGTCTCGGGCCGTCGGAAGGCCGAAAAGAAGGAAATGTCCAAATCCGTCGAAAACCTTAGGAAAATCAAGGATTTGGGCTTTTTCTGGCCTTCCTGGAGGCCCTCTTGGGGGCCTCTTGGACCAGCTTCGAGCCAACTTCGGCCATCTTGGTGGGTTCCTGGCACGTCTGACGCCGTCGGGAGCCGTCTTGGGGGCCTTTCTGGGCCAACGGGGGACCCTCTTGGAGCGCTTCGGGGCCGTCTTGGAGGCCATCTTGGGCGTCTTGGAGGCCATCTTGGGCGTGTTGGAGGCCTCTTGGGCCGTCTTGGGGCCCTCTTGGGGCCATCTTGGAGGCCACTTGGGCCGTCATGGGGCCCTCTTGGGGGCCTCTTGGGCGATCTTGGGGGCCTCTTGGGCCGTCTTGAGCCGTCGGAATGCCGAGAAGAAGCAAATCTAAAATCCTTCAAAAACCTTGGGAAAATCTATGATTTTGGCCTCTCCGGGCCCTCCTGGAGGACCTCGTGGAGGCCTCTTGGGCCGTCTGGGAGGCCTCTGGAGGGCCTCTTGGGCCTTCTTGGGCCGTCTTGGATGCATCTTGGGCCGTCTTGGAGGCATCTTAAAGCCATCTTAGCCGTCTTGGAGGCCATCCTGGCCGTCTTGGAGGCATCTTGGAGGCCATCTTTGAGCCGTCTTGAGCAGGAAATTGGGGAATTGAGGTCCGTGGCAATCCTCCCGGGACCCCGGCGGGACGCGCCGGAGCCCCAGGGGGAGTTCTTTTGGAAAAAGAACCAAAACCAAAACCAAAACCGAGAGGGTCTGCCAAGCACCCCTTTGCTAAAGCAAAAGCGGGCGGCGGATTGAATGGTCTTCGGTCCATCCTGCCACCGTGCCTGGGTTGCGGGTCAGAGTCCTCGGGGATGCTTCGTGGCGTCTCTTCGGAGCGCTCTCGGGGGCCTCAGAAGGGCTTGGGATCTCTTGGGAGCATGTGTAGGGCTTCTTGGGAGCGTCTTAGAAGACCTCTTGGGCTTCTGGGGCCTCTTGGAGCCTCTTGGGGGCGTCTTGGGACCTCCTGGGGGCGGGTTCCCCGTCTGTGCCCCCTCTTGGAGACGTCTTGGGGGCCTTTTGGGCCGTCTTGGAGGCCTCTTGGGCCGTCTTTGGGTCCTCTCGGGCGGTTTGGGACCCCTCTTGGAGGCCTCTTCAGCTGCCTTGGGCGATACTGGGGGCTTCTTGGGTCGTCAAAAACGCAAGGTTAATTAGCGATTTGTGCCTCTTAGGGCACTTGGGGGTGCTCTTGGGGCCCCCTTAGAGCTTCTTGGGGGCCTCTGTGGCCGTCTTGAGGCCACCTTGGGCGCCTGGGAGCGATCATGGGGCGGCTTGGGGCGCTCTTAGATCTTCTGGGCAGGGCCCTTAAGATATTCACAAACCCTCCACCTCTCAGGGCTCTAGGAGCCTTGAGACATTCCACTTCGTGCCAGAGGCCGTACAATCTTTAAATGTATGTATGTATATTTATATATATATATCATATTATATGACATGACATGATATTATATTAAAGTATATTATATTATGTTATATTATTTCATTTTATATTATGTATGTGTGTATGTATGTATGTATGTGCGTGGTGCAGTCTATGTGGTGCGCATTACAACGCGCAGGAATATGAGTGGTGCAAGCTATGTAATGCGATCTACGGGGTCCAATCTACGTGGCGGTTGTCTATATTGTGCAGTCTGCGCGGCGCAAAATATTGGCGCAGTCTATGTGGTGCAATTAATTTCTGTTCGCAGTGAGTTGTCCACTCCACTGCTCGCGCAAACATCCCACCCACCCACCCGCAACTTGGTTTGCAAAATATCTTAAGATCGTGACGGTGGGTACCACATGGCACTTGGCAACAACAGCGACGCCGACGACGACAGCGACAACGACGATGACGACGACGCCGACAACGACTACGACGACACCGACGACGTCTCCAACGACTTCGACGACGCCGACAACGACGACGACGATGACGACGACGACACCGACGACGACGACGACACCGACGCCGACGACGACGACGATGACAACGACGACGATGACGACGCCGACGACGACGATAACGACGACACCGACGACGACGACGACGTCAACGACGCCGACGACGGCGACGACGACGACGACGGCGGCGACGACGACTACGCCGACGTCGACGACGACGAAGACGACAACGACGCCGACGCCGACGACGACGACGAAGACGACGACGACGTCGCCAACGAAGACAACGAGGAAGGAGGGAGGACGACGACGGCGACAACGACGACAACGACGAGGGAGGAGGGAGGACGGCGACGACGCGAACGACGAAGAAGGAGGAAGGACGGCGACGCCGACGACGTCAACGACGAGGGAGGAGGGAAGACGACGACGACAACGACGACGACGACGACGACGACGGCGACGAAATGGGAGGGACGACGACGAGACGCCGACGACGGACGACGACGACGACGAGGGAGGAGGAGGAAGGACGACCACGGCGGCAACGACGACGGAAACGACCACGACGCCAAAGAGGACGACGACGACGAACACGAGAAAAGACAGAGGATGACGTAGGCGACCACGACGACGACGCGGGAGGAGGGAGGACGGCGACGACGACGACGACGACGACGACGCAAGAGCGCGCGCGCACGCTTTTGTTGAAAATCCGTGTTGCGAAACCTTGGGTTTTTGTAGGTTTTACGCACGATTTTGAAATCCTTCCGAATCCGATGGGTTTTGAATGTTTTCGGCATACGCCCGCGACGACGCGCGCGTCTGCACTTCGTCCCATTTGTTGCAGAGGATTCTCGCGACGGCACATGCGCAAGGGCGTTCGACAGATTTCGACATGCGCGCGCGAAGCCCGTTTGGTAGCATGTTGTGAAAATGTTGAAAAGCTTGTGGTTTTCTGAAGATTTCGCAAGAGCTCGCGCGGAAGCTTTTTTAGCAAATCAGTGTTGCGAAACCATGTGTTTTTTGTATGTGTGTTGGAAACTCGATTGCGAAATCCTTCCGGCACCGCAGGTTTTTGAAGGATTTCGGCATGCGCGCGCGACGGCGCGCGCGTGTGCACTTCGTCCCGTTTTTTGCGAGGGATTCGTGAACAAGTGCTATGTTAGAACAAAACATGTTACCGCATAGTGTTTTTTGCCCAGGAACCTCAGGGGGGGGGACCTGGCCTAGTTGGGATGATATGATTTCGTATTTAGGGTGGACGAGTGTGCAGAATATATAATATATATATATATATATTATATATATATATATATATGTGAAAATATATTATCCCAGGGGGAACCGATAAGTCCGGGGGGGTAGAGTCTATTTTCTCTTTAGAAAGGAGAATATATGTCGTGCGCAGTGTATGCAGTGCGGTCTAAGTTGTGCAATATCTGTATATATACATACATACATACACATATGTGTGTATATATATGTATGTATGTATGTCTTTATGTCTGTATGCATTGTGCTATCTATGTGGTGCACTTTACGTTCTGCAATTCCGGCGGCGACGGGGCAGCGACGGCGACAACACAGCCGCCAGGCCGACAAGCGGGCCCCGACGACGGGCGGCGGCGAGGCGGCGACGGGGTGGCGACGGCGACAACATGGCCGTCAGACCGCCAGTGCGGCCCAGGCGAAGGGTGGCGACGGGGCAGCGACGGCGACAACATAGCCGCCAGATTGGCCCAGTTTCTTCGACAAGAAGTGCTAACCCCTAAGTCCCTAAGTCCAAGCACTGGTTGGGGAACATAGTTATAATCATATGCATATCAATGTGTGTCAGATGCGCATACAAAAACATGCAAAACTAAAAAGCGCTACCGCATGACGACCTTGGGCCTCTGCTGGGGGGCGGGGGGGGAGTGGAGCATTTTGGGGCAGGACTCGGGACATTCTCGGGGCTTGTCCTTGAGATTTGGGGCGCGGCCTACGTGGTAAGAACGCAAGGCAAGGACGGCTCGAACAGGAATCCAGCAGTTCCTCTCATTGCGGGGTGGGGACGAAGCGCGTAAGGCTTGGTGTTGCAATGTCTTCCGGGTCCGTTGCGTCGGAGGTTGCAGCTTCTGTCTCTAAGGGGGGGGCGGCGCACTGCCGCCGACGCGCGCGTTTGGCCCGACCAGCGCCGGGCACTGCAGGGTGCGGTGGGGAGATTTTTTGCACGAGGGATTCGCCGCTTGGCAGATAAAGTGGGTCCAGCTGTCACAGTCGATGGTGCCAATCAGAACCCCCTTCGGGAATATGCGCATGGTGCCAAGGTGGCACAAGGGCGACGCGGTTGACCTCGTGCTTCTTGTGACGGCCTTCTGCACAGGCGCAAACATGTTGCCCCAGGTGGGCCTCGTCCTCCTACTGGTAGATGTGGTAACGGACTGCATAGACAGCTTTGCCCAATTGTTCATCCACTGGCTAGTCGAAGGGTCGTTCGAGATCAACGAGTTGTTGGCAAAGAAGGTGTCACTTCTGGGGGTAATGATTCTGGTCACACTGTATCAGTGGAAAAAAAGAATGGGAAGCACGTCGACTTCTAGTTCAGCGTTGGATGAGATTGACGAGGACGTTTTGGATCCAAGCCTGGGTTGCCAGGGATGAGTGAGTTGAAATGTCGATCTAGTTGACTATCAGTTGTCAATGTGTTCGTCATTGGGTTCAGCACCTTTGTCTTGAATGGTCTCTGCAGAGCCAGCAGCGTTGTGGAAATTCATTCGACACGTGTCCTGTCCAGTCACCGGCATAGTGGGATGTCCAGCGGGAGAAGAGGAGAAGGCTTACGAGGAGAGTGGGGAGCAGAATGTGGGAGAAGAGGCGGATTGGGATGGAGGAGGAGGAGGAGCAGGAGGAGAAGGAGGAGCAGGAGGAGGGGAGGCAACGGTCAGGAGAACATTTCTGCCACGAGGTGCCAGGTGCCAGCAGGAGAGCAGGAGGAGGAGGAGGAGGCGGAGGAGGAGGCGGACGATTAAGTCCTTGCAATTACTTTTTTTCGCGACGGGAAGCGTCCCCTTGGCAAGACGAGCCCCCCGACGGGCTTGTCATGCAGGCGAGAGCCCGCGTTTGCAAAGGAGTTGCGCTCCATCCTGGTAGTCATGAGAACTCTCGGGCTTACGCGGCACCGCCGACCCCTTTGGGTGTAGTAGATGCCTGCCAGAAGGATGATTATCGCATGGAATTGGGCACACACCGCCGCCGTGGCGCTCTCCATCTTGGTAGTCATGAGAATTCGGCTGCCTCGATATGCCCGTTGTGAAACGCAACACGTATCGTGTTTGAAACGTCCGTGTCAATACGTTGCGCGTTGGTTCGGCGTATTGCCCCACGTTTTGGCGAGCGTATCGCGTCAGACCTGCGTGAACAGCCTAGATGTTGAGCTATGTGTCAAAACGCTACGAGTTGCGCGTTGCGTATCGGGGCAGCTAAGCGTGAGAAACATCAAGATGCACGGGCATCAAGCTCAAGGAATGTTCATGCGAGAGCCACATTTTGAAAAGGGCCGCCACTATGCCGTGTAATTGCCGCGAGTTGTCATGTTTCGGACGGTAAATTCTGTATGATCGCAGGCCTAGATGTTGACACCAACACCAATATCGGCGGTGTGTCTCCACCGAAGGAAGAAGACCCCGATTTCGGTTATGGTGGTAATG